TCATTACTTACTCCTAATACAGTATCGTCATCTCATACTCCTAATATTGTCCCTCTCTCTCAGTCATCACTTACTCCTAATACAGTATCGTCATCTCATACTCCTAATATTGTCCCTCTCTCTCAGTCATCACTTACTCCTAATACAGTATCGTCATCTCATACTCCTAATATTGTCCCTCTCTCTCAGTCATCACTTACTCCTAATACAGTATCGTCATCTCATACTCCTAATATTGTCCCTCTTTCTCAGTCATCACTTACTCCTAATACAGTATCGTCATCTCATACTCCTAATAATGTCCCTCTCTCTCAGTCATCACTTACTCCTAATACAGTATCGTCATCTCATACTCCTAATAATGTCCCTCTCTCTCAGTCATCATTTACTCCTAATACAGTATCGTCATCTCATAATCCTAAGTCATGTCTCACTCTTAATACACCGTCATCTCATACATGTACTTCTAATAGTGTCACTGTGCCACCATCATCAAATGTATGTACTCCTAGTAATACATGTATGTCATCTCCTACTCCTAATACATCACCTACATGTAATATTATCCCTACATCACAATCTCCTCACACTCCTACATCACAAACTTCTACTAGAAAGTCAAATTCCAGTAAAAGTGCTACAGAGACTATTTCAAAGTACTTAGTTCAGTATGTACCTGAAACACCTACACGTACTTGTTCAAGGAATGAAAGAGCTACTGGTAGATGTATTTTGACTAGTTCTGAAGCGTTAAAAATTCTAGAGGACAAGGAAATGAAGAAGAAAATGGAAATTGAAGAGAAGCAAAAGAGAAAAGAAGAAAGGGAAAGAAAGAAGAAAGAGAAAGAGGAAGCAGCAGCAAATAAAAAGAGAAGGAATGCCCAGTCAAAGAAAAAGGGACAAAAGAAAGGGAAAACTACCTCTTCAAGTGAAACAGTAGCCACATCCGCTGCTACAGATTATTCAAGTGATATTTATGAGTGTTCTGAATGTAGTCAAACTTACAATGAAGACAATAGTGGAGAGGAATGGGTGCAGTGTGCTTGTGGCAGTTGGATGCATGAGAAATGTATTATTGATGTTGTAATTGATGAAAATGGAAAAGAGCGATTTTGTCCTGTTTGTATTATTTAGCTCACTCTGGTAATTTAATCTAAGTAATGTTGATATTATAGTCTTGTTTTGCTTTAATTATTTCAGTTTTCTTCCTTTTTTCTCATTATTAATTTTTTCTATTTTGGCAATGTTTATTTGTCAGTTTTGTTGCTTTATTACTACTATTAACTATATTAATTGTTGTTTTCATTTGATTGTTATAATTGACATTTTGACGATAAATTTAAGTAAACTAGTGGCTAAATAGCAAAGAAATATGATATTGGTAAATAAAATTTCTGAAATAGCTTGTTGTTGGAGCCTATGTGTTCTTTCACAGTTTCTTCATTCATTTTCCGGTGAATGAGTGCTGCTTCCGATAATTGAGCATTGACGAGTGTACATCTACCGAGTTTTGGTACTGGGTGACGATAATTGGAACCCGACTATTGCATCAGACTGACAGATAGCTGCTTAACTCTTTAGAAATTAGCTGTCGGGGGTGGAGCGCTAGGTAGCTTAATATTTAACCTGATTATAAAACCAAAGATGGCTTCTGGGCGACTTTCTGTCATTGAGAACGAGCTCTGCACCACAAATGATCCGATAATTGGCCATTTACGCTAGTTGTTGGGGCTATTCCAACCCTCCAGATACTAACTAGTATACGGGAAAATTATGCAGTGACAAGCACTATTACTAGGTGATAATATGTGAAAAAGCTAATGAACACAAATTTTTAGCCAGAGTTGCTTAGCTGCACTTTATAAAGATCAAGCTGTTTTTTGGTATTGGTAGTTAGAAAATTCTATGATGAATAGATACATCCTTGTTTCAGTCCTGTATCTGCTATAGTTAAGAAGTTGCAACTGGAGAAAGAGGACCCTCTACCTGGGGCTATTCTGACCGCTGCACATGGATTTCTCATTGGTTTATACAGGGGAATGGAATAGCCCTGACTTACTCTATACCTTGGACGAAAAGTTACAGTTCTACAAAAATGAGAATTTTACAGCGCATGCGCCATATGTTCCCAGGAATCAAGATCAAACTGTAAAAAGTGGAACACGTGATCCAGTTTCCAATCCTCTCCTTGGTCATTGTAATATCTATGGTTGCTGACTTTCAGAGGCGTCACTGCCTAAGGGGCAGGTAGGGCAGTTGCCCCACCAATATTTTGAAAATCAGTAGCTATTTTTATCAAAATTAGTTATTAATTCAAGTTAATTCATCTAATAACTTTCCAGGAAAGACTCAATCACTGCTTACTTCTTCACACACACCAACAACTGACTCATAATGTAGAAATACAGTCGGTAGTTAAGCAATTTATTGCTGGAAATGAATGCCATTATAAATTTTGGGCGTCAAAAAATCATTATTAATTAATTAATCAATCAATTAATTGACCACACCCATCATAAATAGTAATTAGATACTGCAAAATTTTTTGCACGCTTTGTGTGCGAAAAACTTCCATCCCCTTCATAGACCTAGTGCCCTACCAATTTTTCAAGCCCAGCGACGCCCCTGACTTTGTACTGTACAATATCATTCAGGCTGATTAGGCTGGCCCCTTCAATCTTTTACATTTGTCTAGTAGTAGTAGGTAATAATAATAATAATGCTAACTTCATTCTTTTGTGATATTGCACCGCCGGGAGATAAAGAATTAACGATTCCCAGAGCCATTTCAAACTATAGTATGATTAACATAAAATTTAAACAAAAAACACCCAACTTACATCTGGATGTACTTTTGCCATTTGAATGGCTTTTCTCTTTTTGTCCGAGGACATAGTAAAGACTACTTCTTTAACTATCAACACGCACCGACAGACTCAGTGTCCGACGCGCGACTGATGCGCCCGAGTAGTCGTCGTTATCTCTTCTCTTATGCTTTTGTTTGGATCACGCCACCAAACCGACCGAAGGCTGCACGTGATGATTATTTCAATACGATACAAAGGGACGAGACACAATGG